AAAAAAGGAAATGATTCGAACATAGGCACAAACTTATCAGAGCAGTCTACTCCAGAACTCCAGATTCCAGCAGCTCAAATATATCAGCAGGTAAGGCTAGAGCTAGGAATGACTTCTCACGTTATGCAGAGAAGTTTGGGGAGTATTGTAAACAAAACTGGAATTCCAAAGATGTTGTGAAGCAAAGGTTTAACATGACCAGGATAAGGGATTTTTTTTTTGGTTTGTTTATTTTAAATTCTGGAAAGTAACCCTGAAATGGAGAAGGAAGAATTTGGTAAAAGGAAAAGGAAGGTAGGAGTTGTTATAACCTTTCACAGCAGAGATAAGAAGCCAGGGGCAGAGATGATGGGAGAGATTTAAGGACATTTCAAAATGAAATTTATAAAATATGTTAACTAGGTGTGGGCAGCAAAAATATGGGAGGAATTGAGGATAATGGTGGAGTCTAGCTTAGATGGTGAAGTCATTATCTAAGGCCATAAATATATGAAGAAAAAGTTCCGAAGGGCAGAGGATGGACAAAAGATCTGTTTGTACTTAGACACGGTCTGTGGGACCCCAATGTGGAGAAGACCTCCTAGTCAGTCCACAAATGGACCTAGGACCAAAGAGATTCTATTACCTGGTACATTGATCTGAGGGAGATTTTAAAAACAGATTGCAAAATCTTGTATCTGCAGAGTATAAAATATGGTTAAAATAACATAGTCACGCAGACTCTAAGCTGGTGAAATAATCATCTCACCTCCTTCTCAAACAACAAAAACAAGTAGATGAATTAACCACAGGCATTTAGTAAAGTAGCATGGCCTCATTCTACCTCCATAACATCTCCCACATATGTCTATTCTTTCTTCCTTCCCTCCCAATATAGAGACAGATGTGCACACCATCTACCAAAATTTGTTTTTGGCATCTAATGTCTCTGGTCTTTACAAGAACCTTAGTCAATGGATTTTCCCTTCTTTTCATACATCTTTACTCCTTTTTTGGGTCAAAAATCTTCTTTCTTTCTGTGAGTATTAAAACACACTACTTCAAATCAATCCCATTTGAAGACCTCCCATCAATCTGTTAGAACTCCTCCAAATATTTATAACTTCTTCTTTGGCAACAACTTCCTCTTTTTACATTTTTAAGGGATAGTTTATTAGTAAAATTGCTGCAAGCAATTCTATACTTCAATACCAACCCAGTACTCTTTCCATGAAACCATATTTAAAGTACTCAAAATTCTCAGACTCAACAATAATGGCATATAAAGTGGCAAAACTGGGGGGAGTCAAAAGACTAAGACTTGTGAATCTTTGGCTGTCACTGTCACTGTCCTCCCGTTGTTCATCGATTTGCTCGAGCGGGCCCAGTAACATCACAATTGTGAGACTTATTGTTACTGTGTTTGGCATATCGAATACATCATGGGTAGCTGGCCAGGCTTTGCCATGAGGGCGAGATACTCTCGGTAGCTTTCCAGGCTCTCTGAGAGGGGTGGAGGAATCGAACCCAGGTCGACTGGTCGGCCGCGTGCAAGGCAAACGCCCTACTGCTTTTACTATGTTTAAGAAATAAATTCTTAAAAATTTATTTTTCAGAGACTTTTACTATATTTTTAAGAAATAAATTCATTTAAAGAAAACTGCATTTTACCATTTCTATTTTCTTTCACACTCACTCAATCCTAAACTCATTGCAATCTAGCTTCTGGGTCCATTACTAAAAACTCACTATCAACAACTCCACAGTGATCTGAGACATTGAGAAACCCAATGGATGTTTTTTAACCCTTATTTTACTGATGAACTCAGCAACCATTTTTTGTCAAATAAAATATTTTTATTTAAACAAATTTACTGAGAGAAGTGTTTGGGAAGAGAAAAAGGAGGAGGAGGAGAGAGAGTGATACATGTGTAAGAGCGGACACTGGCTTCTCCAGCGTGAAAAAAAGCCTCAGCAAATAGTTGTGATACTAATGGCTACCTGTTTTTTGCAACTTCACTTCTTTATTGATTGACTTTTCTGATATTGCATTATATTGCAATATTGCATATTGGGTTTCTTCCCAGCATCGTGGGTCTGTCTTCTCCATCTCCATTTTCTATTTCAAAAGTTGTCATTTCCAGACTTCTGCATTTGAGAATCCTCCACCTCTCACCCCAGACTCCTGTACTTGCTGTTTTTTCTGCTTCCCCCCGGTCACATGGCCAAGTCCCATTCATGCTTGGATCTCTGCGTGAAGGTCACTTCCTTAGAGAAGTGTTCCTTGAGCCCCTCCATTAGATTCAGTTCTCCTGTGATACACTTTTGATTTTAAAAATGCATTCCATTCATCATAATTTTGCTGATTACTTGCTTGATGATCCTCAATTCTATGAAGGTAAAGACCATATGTGGACTATGATATTGCAGTTTATGTCACATAATAGGTGCTTAATGAATATCTGTGAACCGATGGTTTAAATATATGGATATGGGGGAGGGGGGCTGAAAGTCAATCAGGGATTCACCTGCCATTCTATGCAAGAAACAGAGCCGGGAGAGGCAACAAATAAGTCAAATAACAAAACAGCATGTTAACTGATTGGCTTGATTGAAATATTGAAAATGAAAAGGACCAACCTGGTCTTCATTCATACTCAGAGAACTATTTATATAAGTGGAGTCGTGTTCCAGTAGCAGCGCCTGGGTCCCTGTCTAAAAGGACCCATGCCAGAACTTTAAGCTTCGTGTGACCAACAGAAGACTGTGGCTTTGAAGTAGAAATGACACTATCTCATACAGCACCAGTACATGTGAATTCTACTCTCGAGCATGTCAAACATGCCTTCAGCTTGCCCTTTCGTCACAGTCCATGTCTTCCAGCATGCCTGGCAGTGCCAACTCCATGAACAAAACTATACATTTAATAACTCCCAGGTGAAATATCCCAAAGTGCTCTTGCCAAATCTAGAGGATACACAATTCTCGATATTAAACCTAAAGACTAATAAAGAGGGAGGGGGCAGCTGGAGAGAGAGCACAGGGGTAAAGGGGCTTGTCTTGCACATGGCAGACCCGGGTTCAATTACCAGCATCTGGTCCCCTGAGCCCCGCCACGAGTGATCCCTGAGAAAGAGCCAGGAGTGAGCACTGCCAGGTGTGATCCAAACAAACAAACCAAAAAGCCTGGAGAAGAGGAAGGTGTAGAGCCTTGTCTAAATGTGATTATAATAATCCATTCAGCGTTTATTATGTGTTAGGTTTCTTTATGCAGCACTTTGTATATATTAACTCGTCTGACATATGGGGTACATACAATTATACCTATTTCATAGACCCGGGTTTGATTCCTCCGCCCCTCTTGGAGAGCCCAGCAAGCTACTGAGAGTATCTCGCCCGCATGGCAAAGCCTGGCAACTCTCTATGACGTATTCAATATGCCAAAAACAGTAACAACAAGTCTCACAATTTGTTGTGAGACATTACTGCTCTCTGCTCGAGCAGATCACTGAACCAGAGGATGGTGCTACCGTGCTCATAGATGATAAAAATGAGCACACGGTGCTTATTTAAGCAAGCCACGGTCAAGTAAGTAGCCGGTGGCAGAACCAAGTTTGGAAACCAGACGGCCAGGTCCCAGCAGCCCGGGCTTCTAGAAACCAACCATATCAATGTCCTGTTAGGAATAAGGAAGGAAAACAAGCAGCTTAAGGGTGAGTTAAGAAAAAGATTCAGAAGAAAGAATATTAATCAGGATCATACTTAACAGGGCAGAAATTGAAAGTCGGCAGACACTGGCTCAGCAAAACTGAAGAATCTTATTCTTTGAGTTGTGTCCCTCGTGAATAATCAGTCTCAAAGATTCCCCTGCCAACAGAATATTCAGGTTGAGGCCGGAGAGCCACTGAAAATGGCACAGGTGGCAGGTACAAAACCTGGGAAAAGGCAAAACCTGAGGACCCTACAGTCTCTTTATTCTCTAAGATCTAGAATTTTAAGAAACACCACATGGATTGTTTTCTCTCAGGAAGCTGAGAACAAACACAGCAAAACTCAATCAAGATGGAGACTTAATATGCAATGTTTTTTTAAGAAAAATCAAGAAATGAAATGCATAGCTTTTAGAACAGTGCGCACCCCTGCCACGGTCGCACCAACATTCCTCATTCCTACGACTTCCAGCCACCTGGGTTCAATCTCCAGCATCTCATGCGGTCCTTCAAGCTCGCCATGAGCAACAGAATCAGAGGGGTGAACTGCACCGTGGCACGAAGCCCCAGGACACGCCCAGAGCCCGGGCAGAGGTCAGTTCTCCACGAGGGCACCTGGCTTTCCATATCAATAAACAGTGTCAAAGAATTTATGTGAGCTGTTTGGACTGTGAAATCACTTCTTTCCCCTCCAGAAAGAGAAGGTCTAGTTAAACCCGAGATTAAAGAGGCGGATAAAAGCGCCCCTTGGACGGCGGAGGCCACGAATTAGACACGCTGCTCCTGCCCCGGCGGGCGGTCCTCAGACATGATCCATTACCGGGCCGCCGCCCATCAGAGGCAGGCGAGGCTAATCCTTCTGCAAGGCAGAACAGCTTCTCAAACTTGACTGTGGTGAATCGGAACCACACTTGCATGCCGTGTGATCAGCTTTCAAAATGCGGAATCATTTCTGTATTGTATTTGGTTTCAGGCTTATTAGGTGTAAATTTGCAAACCGAGATTAGAGATGCCCGCCGTGCAGTGTGCCCTGGACTCCCCTTGAAGCTCATCCCGCAGAAAGAAACGTCAGATCATAGCAAGAGAGAAACGCACGGAGGTCGCTCTTACACCGCAGAGTAAGGAAAAGACACTGCTTTTACAACAGTTTTCCATATTTTGAAAGAAAAACATTCCAATTTCCATCTCGAAGGAAGGAAAGCGCCACTAAGTCATAAAAACATCTGTTACGGGTATGCACCGCTTTTGAATGGAATTCCATCATTTCTGGAGCCTCTGACAGCAGACTGGAAGTTTTGGAAGCTGCCTTACCTTTTTACAGTCAGATAAGGATTTCTCACTGGCCAGTGTGCTGAAAATGGTAGTCTGAAAAACAGGAAGAAAGGCCATGCGTTAGAAGCACACAAGTGAATGATACAGGCCCGCTTAATTCATCTTTGATTCACACCTCTTATGAACCCCCTGCTCCTCATCTGCCCGATTACTCTCTGCATATTAGAAAGTGTCTGTCCTTGACAGTTATAACCACTGCACTACCCCAACTGGAACACTCACGATCATCACGACCATCCTGTTATTCGTCGATTGCCTCGAGCAGGCCCCAGTAACGTCTCCTTCGTCCTAGCCCTGAGATTTTTAAAAAGTGCCATATTCAAGGCTCTTTCAGAGTTAGGAGAATGAGACCCATCATTGTTACTGGTATTTGGCATATTGGGTACGCCACGGGGAGTTTGCCAGACTCTGCCGTGGGGGCAGGTTACATTCAGTAGCCTGACAGGTTGTCCAAAGTAGGAATGAGATAATAAGATGTTCCTCTGCCGGTACCTTCATGCATGTGGAGAGTGGTCTCAGCATGGTGGTGGCTGGTTCTGGAGGTCTTTGGCTGCTGGAGCCCTGGTCAGGGTGGGGAGGGAAAACTCAACCCACTCTCCTCCAAGGTGCCCCAGCGAGGACAGCCAGGCGCGGGGGCAGGAGACTCTGTGTTGTTCTCTTCTGGGAGCTGGGTTTTATAGTCTCTGAGTCTTAGGCCGTTGATGGGATTACATGGCGCTGGGGGTCAGTTGGTGGGTGTGACCCCTGCCTACTGGAGGATGGAGGATCTAGGTGGAGGATGCTCAGCCCCGATCCGAGTAGGCTTGGAGAACTCAGTCCCGGGACCCGCATGCCTTTGTTCCTCTGCCAGTACCTTCATGTGTGCAGAAAGTGGTCTCGGCATGGTGGTGGCTGGTTCTGGAGGTCTTTGGCTGCCGGAGCCCTGGTCGGGGAGGGGAGGGAAACTCAACCCACTCCTCTCCAAGGGGCTCCAGCAAGGACAGCCAGGTGCGGGGGCAGGAGACTCTGTGTTGTTCTCTTCCGGGAGCTGAGTTTTATAGTCTCTGAACCTTCATGGGCCAACAATGTCCAGTGAAGTAAGGATTTTTTAAAATTTTTTCTTTTGCTTTTTGGGTCACACCCGGTGATGCACAGGGGCTACTCCTGGCTCATGCATTCAGGAATTACTACTGGTGGGATCATATGTGACGCTGGGAATCAAACTTGGGTTGGCCACGTGCAAGACAAATGCCCTAAATGCTGTACTGTCTTTTCAGCCCCAAAGTAAGGATTCTTAATCTTCACTTCAAAGAAGATAATTGCAGTACAAACAGCTTAATTCCCAAATACATCCTTTGGAATGAAAGTCCAAGTCTTCTGATTCCAGAACCTACTCTTTCTTTTATTATTAATTTTTTTATCTTTAATGAATTACTGTAAGGTACAGTTACAGAGTTACAAACTTCCATGCTTATGTTTCAGTCATACAATGATAGAGTACCCATCCCTCCACTAGTGCCCGTTCTCCACCACCAATGTTCCCAGCATTTTCATTGATTTGCTCCAGCGGGCACCAGTAACATCTCCATTGTGAGACTTGTTACTATTTTTGGCATATAGAATACATCATGGGTAGCTTGCCAGGCTTTGTCGTGCGGGCAGGATACTCTCAGTAGCTTGCCGGGCTCTCTGAGAGGGGTGAAGAATCGAACCCAGGTCAGCTGTGTGCAAGGCAAATGCCTTACCCGCTGTGATCGTTCCAGCCCCCTTAGGGCTCTAAGGAAAGATATTCTTGCTCCCTATTCAAAGACTGAGCCAGAAGGACAGACAGCACTGGCTATGGGATGCTCCTCCTATCAAACAATTTCCTCAGGACTACTCCTCATTTTTTGCATCTTTCCATGAGCACTGCTTCCTGAGATGGGCTAGTGGTCAATCTCAGATCCCCATTTCAGGAAGACAAAGTCATAACAGGACTTGGTCTTTGCTGGAGCCCCGTTCCCCGGCCCAGTGCTGGAGGAAGGACTGTATTCAGTGAATGATGTGCTGAGTGAGTCAAAGGGGAGACTAGCTGGAGCAGTGTTCTTTATCCCAGGGCAGTTTGGGAAGCATGGTGCCGAAAAGTGGTCTTACCTACCACAGAGTGAAGTATCCCCAGTGGTCCCAGAGAAGAAAATGAGCAGGATGAAAACCCCCCTGACGGTCATTTTCTCTTTTCTTTGCATATATCTATTGTCTATTATCCACTTGGTTTTTCTACAATGATTTTTCAGTGTCAGTGCTATGGACAATTGGGACTGGATAGTTTTTTGTTGTGTGGTATGTGTGTGTTGTGTGTGTGTGTGCATGTAAACATGCACTGGGCCATGTGTGGCAGTTTTCCTGCCCTCTACCTACCAGATTACCAGACATACTTCCCCTGACTCTTTAGATTGTCACTGTCACTGTCCTCCCATTGTTTATCGATTTGCTCGAGCGGGCCCAGTAACGTCTCCATTGTGACACTTATTACTGTGTTTGGCATATGGAATACGTCATGGGTGGCTTGCCAGGCTTTGCCGTGTGGGCGAGATACTCTCCATAGCTTGCTGGGCTCTCTGAGAGGGGCAGAGGAATCGAACCCGGGTGGGCCCAGTCAGCCGCATGCAAGGCAAATGCCCTACTCTCTTGTGCTACTCTTTAGACATAAAACCACAAAGCGTCTCCTGCCCTTGCCAAGTCCACTGAAGGGACAAGAGCCCCCAGCCCAGCCCCACTCCAATCCCTGGAAAACACCTTTCTTCTCTGAAGCATGGGCCATGGAAACCTTTCTGATTATTTCGCCTGCACATCTCAATGTTTTGCCGTTTAACAAGCGTGGCAGTGGGGATTTCTCTTGCCTGAGGTTGAGGATCTATCTCCTCCTCTGTCCTACGCGGGGACCCAGAATCCAGGGTGGGTCCCAATTCCAGCTACCGAGGCTCTGGGTAGGGGCAATCTGAGCGACCCTAATTGCATTTTTAACTAAGCTTAAGACATACTAGTGGAGAGAGTAAATTAAGGAACACATCTAAGATTCCAGACATTAGTGCTGTAGCCCCAGGGGAAATGATCTTCGAAATTAAACAATCTCATTCAACCTTCCAGAACAGTCTCAGGTGACCTGCGAAACATGTTTGGAGGAGACATGAAAGTCAGAGATGGGTGAAATTAGTTGCACTGGAAAAAAAGGGGGGGGATTAGTACAAGTAACTCAACAAGATTCCATCTGGAGAAAGGATTCCTGGAGTCAAAGGAGGGTATCTCAGTCCTTGAACGAGTGGGAAAAGAATGCAGGGGGTCAGGCGAGGCTGCACCCTTATTTTGGCCACTTTCGAGAGGAATTTGACTTCTACGCCTGGTTAGCTCCGTTGGTGCTGAAAGGCTCCGACTGGCCTTCCAGTGTCCGACCTGCAGCTGTTGTGCAAGGCTTTGGGTGGGCTTCCTCTACCTTCCAATAACGTTCGCTTTAATCACTGAGAATGAGACACTCCAAACCTGGCGGCCTCCCCACTCTGAGGCTGCCTTGGTGATGGTGTTCCTGCCTTCCTACTCAAAAAGCAAACTCTGAACGAGTCACCTCCACCCAAGTTTGTGTGGAGCTGCTGGTCGCGGGAGCACAAGCAGAAGAAAACAAAATGACTTTTTGGCAGAGCCTGGGCTCCTAACCCTGCTGTGGGTGACCAGCGGGTGGGCAGGGTGGGGAGGCGTCTTCCTGTGCAGTTGCTGCAGTTTCAATTTCCCCAAATGGGTTTGAAAAAAGACGGTTGCCCATTTATATACTGATGCCGGACATTTGACTTATTTGAATTCTGCCCTCCTATTTTATGTTCTTGCTCAAGGCCTTGAATCACAAAAGCCTAATCTTGAAGGGATCCTAAGGTGGAAGTCACTGTAAAAGGGGAACTGAGAAATTTGGAGTATTATCAATCCGTTCGGTCTGTTCCACCTGAGAGAGAATGAGGTTATCCAGTTCTTTTGAACAAGCAGGGCTTTGTTTGTTTGTTTGTTTGTTTTTAAATAGTTTCAAGGGCAGATCTTGGGAGGGGAGAGAAGAAAACCAATATCCTAGGAACAATGGGCATTCTCACTCTAGGTGTTGGGAAAAGATTCAGTAACACCCAGTCACTGTGTGGGTGTCTGGAAAACAGGATGGGAAATGGAGAGGGAACACGCAGGAGGGTCTCCAGGGAGACAAAGGGACAGACACAAGGAAAGATGACCGGCTGTGGAACAAGCTCAACAAATGTCTAGGCGGACCAAGTGGGGAGTTTTGAAGGAGGGATGGACTTGGCCCCAGAGCTGAGGTGCAGGGATGCTCTGGGCAGTGGGCATGACCCTGAGCAGGACCGGGGTCTTCAAGTGAACAGCAACTTCCTCAGAAGACTGAGAGACATCTGCAGACAGAGCTTGTGGCAACAGTGAGATCAGCCGAGGCATGACTGTGCACACTCAGGTATATTTTATTTTTGATACGCATTTGCCAAGGGTTGAAACAGGCTATGTTGCTCTCTCTGAAGATGACCCTTTTTTATAGTTTAGAAGTCTGCTGGTCTTTTCTGCTGGATTATTTGTACAAATAAATGGACCACTTGCTCAGGAGTCAGGTGGTAAATTCTTGCTCTTTCTTAACATAGCTCTTTGTGAGCTTAAGAGAGATTGCTGATCTTGAAGAAAATGGGCCAGATTTTATCAGGCACATTGTTTGGAAATCAATGCATATAGAATACTGCCTACTTATTCCCTCCAAGCTCTGAGGAAAGAACCTTTGACTGAATCACACTGTCAGCACTTGATTGGCTATAGAGGTAAGGACAATTTTATGGTTGATGCACAAAAGCATAAAATATAAAGCATCTTTACCGCTGAGTTTAAAACACTAAATAATAGTTGAAAAGACTGAGGCTCTTAAACATGTCTTTCTTAAATTCACATTAGCAGTTATATGGAAAATATTCCAAGTGGACACACAAAGTTGAAAGAAACCCAGAAGGAGTGATTTGGAATGAAAATCTGACAG